TTTAAAACTTTTTCACCCAGGCGGCTATTAGACTGGAAAGAAAAGTTGGATAAAGAGATAAAATAAAGATTAGCATCAAAGAATGACATGTGCAGGTCAAGACATTGTTATATCGAACAAAGTATGTTCGTCAAGATTGTAAGTTTAGATGGTGATATAAATTGTAAGATTAGAAATTTTATTTCCGCTGCAATGTAAGTGTTTGATCTTGGGATACTAGTTTTGATATATATTTAAGTATTCGAAATTTTGGGATGTTACAGATTGGGAGATAAGGGGATGTTTGGTTGGTTTTTCATTAAGCTGTTCGGTTGTGGCTTAATGGGCTGCATAGCCTATATGGCTTATTTGGTAAGCCATAAAGGACTGTTCGCTTGTGGCTTAATACTACAGCCAGGTGCCTATTCGCACAACCAAGGTAGACCTGTCCTTAGCACTCAGCCATAGTTATTCCAGAAATGCCCCTTATCATATTAAATAGACACAAACGCCTCCACAAGGAAAACCTACCAGATCTATGATATGAGCTCTCTCACAGCAGGTCATCACCTCCACCCCCATTATAGGTCAGCTAGCTCATCCTCTCCCATCGTTGGTCATCTCCTCCTCCCCCTGTCACCGGTCATCACCTCTTTCCCTATCGCCGGTCATCGCCTTCCTCCGCCGTCGTATAGTATAGATTTGTTCTTCATCTTTTTCACTCATTGTTGTTTTCAAAGAAATATCGAGAGGTTTAAGTATGATTTTAGTGAGTTTCTTCCAGGTCACATGAACTCATGAAGGACCATCAGATATTGGTGGGAAAACATCTCCAGAGCAAAAGTTGCATAAAATCGTAACATCTTTTGATCACATGTATTTAGGGTTTCATTGATTTGGGTTCTTTTGAATTACGGTTTCATTTGATTCAACATTTTGGTTTCAGTTGATCTACTTGATGTTCTTGTTATGGGTAGTTGATGTAATTAAATTGATCCACAAAAATGTAATTGTTTCGTTGTTTGATGATTTGTTGCAAGTATTGTTGTTTCGTTGTAAAATTTTATCTATAATTGTTGTTTAATGACTAATATAAAGCAAAGGGTAAGATAGTCATTTTTATTTTTCAGACTGTATATTTAGCACAACAACCGAACAACGATTTAATTGAATCCATACAGACAACTTTATCCACACATGCAACTTAGCCCATAGAGGACTTAATAGAAAACAAACTGAACAACCCCAAGTCCTATATGGATAAAGCTGCATGTATAGATTAATATGTCGGTATCGATACGGAAGGTTTTTGTTGGGAGAGTTTTTTCATAGACGGAAAAAACGTGTTTTTTAATTGGAAGGGGCAGGTTTGGAAAAAACTTGGTTTTCTGCATAAAGCTCCCCCTTAAAAGCTTATTGAATAAGCCACTTTCTATATCATTAAGCAACTACCAAACAACCATGTATAGCTGAACGAATAAGCAGTCCCATTAAGCTCATTAAACAGGCCCTAAGTCTTTATGGGCAAGAGGATGTCTGCATGACTCAGACTGATGGTCTTCTTTAACCATAGAGAAGTAACCTTACTAGTACCTCCAAGGTTCACCCTTGCTTTAAAAGGGAAAGAAAGATCACTATGGGTGCGTTTGGTACGCTGGACAGGGTGGGACAGGACAGGACATAACACATATGTCCTGTGTTTGGTGTGGCCCAATGTGGAACTAAGTGGAACTAACTTGGATAAACCTTGAACACGCGTGTTCCATCCTACCCCCCTGGAACTAAGTGGAACACAACCCTATTTCCCTCTTTACCCTTTTCCCACCCGGCTGCAATATTGAAGAACGATTAACCCTTTTTCATCGCTCCATCGTCTCCATCGATTCCTCCTGTCGACGGCGAGTTCCAATCGACGGCGAGTTTCAATCGACGGCCTCCATCGCCTCCATCGCGTCTCTTCTCTCCATACCCAGGTACGCAATCGATCTGTGTAGTGAACGATCTGTGTGTAGTGAACGATCTGTGAGTAGTGAACGACATCTCCATTCGTTCTTGATTCTAGGGTTCTTGTTAATTTCTGTGGGTTTTGATGATGATTAATTTCTTGTTAATTTCGGTGGGTTTTGATTCTAGGGTTCTTGTTGTTATCAACTGTTTAGGGCATTTTAGCTCACTCGTATTCTACTTGACCAACAGCTTAACCTTGTTAATTTCATTTGCCTTTGACCAACAGCTTTCAATGCAAAATTTGATTTATGCTACTTGATTGATTTATAAAGAACTCCAAGGGAATTTTCTCCCTGATGCTTTCTAGCAAATTGGATTTCGGTATCTTCAGGGCTCCTTTATTATAGAGCTTGAGTACATCTTCAAATGATGAGAACTCATTGAAATTGTTGCTCGATACAGCCTCAAACTTGTGTTTTAGAAGATGTTCGAGTGTGCCAACTCTTCAAAATCGGGATCCTGCTTTCAGTGTTGGGATCTGTAAACAGCTCACAAAAATTCAACTAGCAACTCAAGAAACTTATATTTCTGATATCTATTCACTTTCAGTGTTTAAATCTTTTGATTTATTAATGTGAGTTTTTAATTACGATTGATTTTGGAAATTTTTTGATATTTTTAAATAATATTTGTAAGCATTTATTATATTGATTATTTAGAGAAAAAAACACTAAACAGGTTACTGGGGGTAAATTGATCATTTTAACATGTCCTGTCCTGTTATGTCTTACCAATCGCCGAACAGCTGTCCTGTCCGCGCACCAAACGCACCCTATATGATATCTGAGATTTAAACTAGAACAGTGGCCAAGTTGAATTCACTCTCTTTTGAACTTATGCCAACACTTTAGGATTTGTCATTGGAACTTGTATTTTGATCCCAAAAAGAGAACTCATTGAAGAGGAAAACAGAAAGACTCTTGAAATAGTGGATAACCAGCAGAGTCTCTTGTTATGTATATCCTAACCATTATCACTATAAAACTGTAATGAGGCTTCAGTTATATCCACGTTATCGCTCACAAACTGAGAAGGTATTGGGTAAAGTTGAGCAAGATCATCGGAAGATTGACAATGGCGTAGTGAAAATAGAGTTTCGTGAATGAATTTAACAAAAGAAATTAGCATGGGGGCATGTGGAACGAAATCGTATACAGAAAAATTGTGAAGTGGAGTACCAGGAACATACAAACGAGTCCAGCTAACACACACGCAGCGAAGCCGTATAATCTCTGTATCCAAAAATGAAGAAGATGGTGAGGTCGTAGAATCATCACAGAAGATCTTAATTTTTGGGGAAAATTACGAACTATTGGGGTAATTGGATGGAATAATACCTGTGTGGGAGATAAAGAACAGAGACCTTCGGCTTCCTCCAACAAGTTGTCTTGTGAATCTTCATATTCTTCTTCAGCGAACAGAGATTGTGCCTGCTTCCACATTTTTCAAACCTAAATCATTCATCAATGGCTACTTCATTTCTTAAACAACTTTCCCAACTGTAATTACAGGTGCCGAATTCGTCACTTTTGAAACATGAGGGGGTTGTGTGTAAATTCAACAAGATATTAATCGGATCAATAATACTTCTCATATCCTTCAACTATTTTTAGAACTCACTAACCAAATTCAACCCAAAGATCTAAGTGGTCATTTACCAAATATTAACCCGGTAAACGTTTATCGGTAAAATTTAACATTATCACTTACTTATCGGGTAAGATTTTAGTTCACCAATATGGCATCGTATGCAACAATTTACCCGGTAAACGCTTACCATGGTAAGAGTTGTCGCCCTCACTTACTGCGTAAAACTCTCGGTCTTTGTCTCTTTCTTACCGGGTAAGATTTTTTAACCTTACAATATTCATCCGATAAGATAATGTGACTTGATAAACGCTTACCCGAGTAAGCATTTGGTAAACGACCCCTAAATAAAAGATTTGGGAAGAAAACAGAAGATGAATGAAACAAGAGAGGGTGAGCGTTGACATTGAGGATGATCGATGGAATTACAGGGACGGGATGTCGAGACGATTAATATGACAGTCTGTTATTTATAAATTACTGATATAAGTTAAAAATTAATAATACTATATTACAAGCGGTTGGTCAAATCGATTTTTTTTGGCTCAGAGTTTCTCAAACTGACTGGTTGTAAATATGATGACCAACTTGACTAAACAGGTTGAACTATTTGATTTGGTAGGCTTATTCGAGTTCGGTCAAACTGTAAACACCCTTGGTTACGAAAGTATTTGCTATTTGCTTAACATAAACATGTCGATGGTTAAATTTAAGGAACACTATATATAATAAGTTGAGTTTAATAATAAAATATGTAATTTAATCTTAATTTTTAAGCAATACAGAAATCTTGTAGTGATTTTTCAAATTTCTAAACACCACCTTAAATTCATACGACTGTGACACCAAATTTCAAGAATTCCCATCAAGTCAAAAAATTGAAAATCAAGATATACAACAGAATTTTATCTCCTGAGTAAGTTTAAAGGACTGTTCGACAGTTGCTGAATGGTTTGGTGCAGAATGATTAAGTAGTCAGAATGATTAAGAGCCTCTCATGATATAGTGCAAAATGAAATATAATTGTTTCATAATTATTTACAACGAAATTAGAGTGTTGAATGGTTAAAGGAGATCCAAAATACAAAATCATTCAGAGGGTTTTAAAGCCATTAAGAGGCAGACTTTTTTTTTACCAAACAAGATTCACTTCTTAATGATTCAAAGGCTGCCTCTTAATGCAACTGTCAAGAGGTAAACAAACAAACTCTTAAACTAAAAGAGAATGTGTCAAACATGGAAAGATTTCATTGTAAGAGGGTGTATTTAGCATTTATATTCATAGTTGAGGGTGGTAAATTGAAAATTACAATCAATAAAACTCCATTCCAAATCCGTTCGATTTGCCCTCTTCTTCTAAAACCCTCGTGATTGTGAGAACCCTAGATTGAACCAGAGTGGATAGAGAGAGGGAAAGATGTCGTCGACGCTGTTAGAGCTGACACGGGCGGCTCACGAGGAGACTGAGCGCTTTGAGAGACTGATAGTGAAGGATCTGCAGAATGAACCGGCTTCGAACAAGGACCGCCTCTCTCAGAGCCACCGTGTGCGCCACATGATCGACCAAATCACCTCCACTACTTACAAACTTGTAACATTTCTTGTTCTTTTTTGTTTTTTCTACTTGTTTTGGTTGTGATGGTTTATTATGCTCCCTTGGATTGAAAAAATTGGAATTTAAGTGGGAAATGTTTGTGTAAGCTGTAGGTTTTGAAATTGAACAGATTTGGTGTTTTAATATTGCAAACTAATAAAACGCTAGATTTTAGATATCGAATTTGCAGTAGGGGTTTTCTCAATCTTGCATTTGATTAGAACTGGTTTGACCTGAAAATCATAGGGCAGTTCGTATTTCATTTTTCTTTTGAAACAGAGAAGTAAGATTTTTGATTTTTTTTTGTTACATTGCTGGTTGTATTGGTTTTAGGTTGACATATATGAAGACAAAGACCAAGCCAGGAAGGATGAAATTGCAGCCCTTGGTGGACAAACTGCAACTGGGACTAATGTTTTTAGCGCATTTTATGACCGATTAAAAGAGGCAAGTGTTTCTTCATTTTGTTGTTTCTTTGGACCTTTATCAGAGAATTCGTCTTTTTGGCTTCTAGTTTGAATCTATTCAGCCGTACAGCCAATTCCCTATTAGTATACGCACTAAGTAGTTCTTCAAGGGCCTACTGTTGTCAGCAGTTTGGGTTTTTCAATTACACGTTTGCTCGCCATTAGAAGCATTTGGGATAAAGAAAACATATTTTCACAATGTTACAAGCTTCAGTCCTGCCACTTCTTTTTTTTCAAGACATACAATAGTCTGCTTGAATGGTTGTGGAAGCCATTTATGTCTTGCTTGCAGTATGCGTGCCATTCGTTTGACAATTTATAAATTGGTACCTTTTAATTGTAACTTAGTATCTTAGCAACATACATATCCTATAGCTTTGAGATCCGAGACTCCAAGTATTAATCTACTGATAGTATGAAGTCTGCCTCATTCGCATTATTGTCACTTGGTAGTCAACTTCAAATGGCAATAAGTTGATAATTCACATAAATTAGGACCTCATAAGCTCTTAGAGGAGATGTGAGGTAAATTAGCTTGGTCCATTTCGCTTTAGTTATCACTGCTTATTCGTCAAGAAATAATATTTTATACAGATTCGGGAGTATCATAGGCGGCATCCATCAGCACGAGTTATTGACACCACTGATGAATACGAGCAATTACTCCAAGAGGAACCGCAAATTGAGTTCAGTGGAGAGGTTAGTACTCTTGATATATTTTTTTAGATCGAAGTAGTCATGCTTAGCACTATCATTGCGTCTTATCATCATGCGTTGTCAGTTATTCATTTTTCATCTTCACTTGAAACAAATGAGGGTTGAATGATCTTTCTAGGCAATGTTGTGGTTGAAGTATAAAACTGCGATGAAGGTATTTGTCAACATATGGGAGAACCACCTTGACCTCACTTTATTTGCTTTGATAGAGGAAATACCGTATAAATATTGGAGGCAAGGATAAAATTTAGAGGGTCTCAGCAAAAAGCTAAGAGTTATGATGGAAACATACAAAGAAGAGCAAATTATCAATATGGAATATCTCTTATAACATGTGATTGTTACTTGTTACCCACTTAAGCAACTGTATAGGCTTCTCTAGCTATGCTTGTTAAGAAATCTGGAAAAAGGTCTATCTTTAACCCCTGTGGAAGGGACGAGGGTTTTCTCATTCGATGGTAGTATGAAACTTCTCAAGGACCCAAGAGGTTAAGGCCTGTAAGGGGGTTCTGGTGTAGAGCTATTGGATTGTAATTTGTCAAATAATTGCTCTCTGTTTATAGTTTGATGTATGGTTTTTACATTTGGACCTTGTATTTGAAGCAAAAATTGCTTGTAATCATTCTCATTTAAAAGCATTTATTTTGTATCAATATTAGTGGCCCATTCGATTTGTTGCAAAGCCTCATGCTTGTTTTCTTGTGGCATTTTTCACGAGTTTCACTCTTTGCAGGAAGCCTATGGACGCTACCTGGATATGCATGAGTTGTACAATTTTTACATAAATTCTAAGTTTGGCAAGCAAATCGATTATTCTTCTTATCTTGAAGTGTTTTCACAACCGCATACCATCCCCCGGAAACTGAAATTGACGAGGTAAGAATAATGACCGTTTCAAGTTCTGTCTCTCTTCTCCTGCCTGTTTTTGTATGTATTATCTATATCAGTACTTGCAATATATTCTTTCTTTCTTCAGAGCCCTCTTCTCAAGTATTTGTATTTGATCTCCTTACATGTTACATGTAAGCTGTGTGGCCCTATATAGACAAATCTATGTTTTTCTTGACAATATATTTTTAAAGTTTAGAAGCTATAATTACAAACTAAGCAATGGTTATCTATTGGTGTGGTGTTGCTACTATGGTGTTTTGGTAAATGTTACTGGCCAAAAGCAAAATGGAATACCCATTCTTGATTTCATGTCTCTTAGCATCTTGTTATCTCTTGATTCTTGATTTCATGTCTCTTAGCATCTTGTTATCTCTTGATTCTTGATTTCATGATTTGTTTGTGGAATCTCTTATTTATTTAAGTGTAGGCTGAAATCAGTAAGACAAATTTATTTTGTTTATCCAGGCAGTACAGGGAATATTTGAGCAAAATGCTGGAATATCTAGTGTATTTCTTTGAGCGCACAGAGCCTCTGCAAGATCTCGATAGATTATTCTCAAAGGTTCTGACTTGTAAAATTTCTTCTCAACTTTTTATTTCTTTTATCGGGTAATTGTTGGTTGGGTTCCCCTTCCTAACCATTTGTACTTGGTTGTTTCTCCAAGTTTGTATAACAAATAAATATAAAATATATCCTTGCAACATATCTAATATACTTTACAGATATATCATATTAGAGATGATCCGATGGTTCTTGCTTGGTGAATCTTTGGGCTTAACTTAGTTTTTTTAAATCATCGTTGTTCTAGTATGAATATGGGGGTTTAGTCGATTCATAAGGTCTTAATAAGAGAATTCTATCGATAATGAAGAAAACAAATAATGAACATTATATACAATGACAAATAAAAGAAAAAAGAAAGAAATAGCCAAATAGGGAAGAGAGGATTCAAGAGGCCTGTAAGAATCAAGATAAAGAGGAATGAGCCAACTTGACGTGGTGTTCTTATTTTGTAAATTATTGGGTAGGCTATAGTAGTATGCAGTGAAATCCATGCAATGGTCAAGAATTTATTGTAATACTCTTTGATAGTACCATCTCATCTTGGTGATTGTAATGTAAAGTATATTTGTATACACATTTATTTTGTTGAAGAGAGCTTGAAGGGTTGCAATTCATCATGTGATGTTGGGATAGCTGATAATGAACATCATAGTTGTCATGCTGTCGTCTTGCAATCCTTGCAGCCATGTACTGACATGGGATTCCCTTCACATGATGTGGGATTTACTCGTGATAACTTCGTAATTCTTAGTACTGCCATGTCTGAATTAGGTCAAAGTGGTGGTTGCCTAAGGTGGTTGTATGCCCAAATGTACTCCAATAAAAAAAGTTATATGGAGAAACAAAAGCCTGCTTGTATAAGTCAATGAAATCCACTTGAAGCTTTAATCAATCATGTACGAGGGCATGGGTCGATGAGACAAATTAGAATATGTGTATACTAGAGACAAATTAGGAAACTCAAAAGTTGCATCAGTGTAGTGGAACATCTCTACTCTCTAGTTAGTTTAGCACTGCAACTCCTGCTCTTTGTTGCTCTTCCTTCTTCATCATACAGCATATGTATTTCTGTCTTTCTGCCTTCTCTTTGTACTTAGTAGAGTAATATAAGTGAACTTTTTGCTATTACAGTACATATTTTATTTTGCAAAGCTGAAATTACCTAATCCAAGGCAATTTACATTATTTATGCATGATGTGCAAGTCATATAATGCAACATTGCTTTGAGTTTCTATTTGTTGTGACAATAGATCTAGATTCTTGGTAGGAGACCTTATAGTTTTTTTGGTAACTGTGGGTTTCTGGGCCAGCTTATGCACACCGATTATTCCCCCGGGTGACCATGAATGGCCTGGAGTCATTGCATCGCAGGTCAACCTCCATGGCCACAAGGGCTTTGACAGCGCCTGGATTCGAACCAGGGGAAGATGAGATTTCCAGTACACCCCCCTGAGTCTTAACCAGTGCGCCAAAACCCAAGTGATTGAAGACCTTATACTGTATGGAGGACATGGTATGCATTGAGTCGCCATGTTCTTCAAGACCCACCTTAACATTAAACACACACCTACGACCAACAATAGAAATGTCTAGGCAGCCGCTTAAGCAGGGGCGGACCTAGTAAGAGCTGAGTGGGGTCCCGTGCACCCGCTCAATCGATTATCACAAGAAAAAAATGAACGGTCAAAAGGGTGCACCTGCTTAATTCTAAGTGTGCTCTTAAATATTATAAAACCAAATTTATAAAAACAGATTGGTAGCTAGCTAAATGGTTGCTACAATCTTGTAAAGGTATTTTCTCTTTGAGAGGTCTTGGGATTAGGACTCCCAAGCATCAATTATTTTTTACTTTTAGTTGTTATAAGACTTTATTGTTTTCTTATCTCTTTGTTGTTATCAAACTATTGCTTTTTCTTTTTAACTATTTGTTGTTATGAAACTTTATTTGTTTTTTATTATCTTTTTGTTGCTATAAAGTTTTATTGTTTTTTATTTCTTTTTGTTATGGAACTTCTAAAAATACAAGCATGTTCTCAAATATTTTGAAACTGAAATTTTTAATAAAATTTATCTAAACAATGAGTTTTGTTTCTACTTTTGTTCTACAATCACCACCCATGAGAAATCGTATTTTCCAAACATATTATCTGTTACAGTTTATTTATTTGCTTTAAATTCATTATTGATTTGTTTTATTTACCCTAAATGATAGGTTTGCTCTAAATTGATTTTATTTCATTATATATTTGTTCTAATATCTATATTTGATCTAAATCTGATTTGCACTAAATTTGTGTAGTTAGTTTTCATTTCCTCAAAGCCTAGTGGTATTTTAATTTGGTTAGTTAATTTTAAATTATAAATTATCATATTTAATACTATAAGTCTTAGATGCATAAGAAAGCAAAATTGAAAATCTAGAAAAAGAAAGATAAAAGGACAAATTAGAAACCTACAAAAAAGTAAAGGATAATGATAATGAAATCTAAATTGAGAAAATTTACGGAATCAACCAAAAAACCAAAAAAATGTTCAAAACGGTGGAACTCGGCTAAACGCATGTCAGACATAAGATGTAGTCTTGCGTCTTGCTCAAAAGGTCGATTTCATTTTGGAAATGTGTGTTGTTCCCCAAAGTTGACTTTCTCTGGGTCAAACAGCATTGACTTTTCTCGGGAGTCAAAACTGCCACATTGCATGCCCTCATTCCACCTTAAAGGTGCACCCGCTGAGGAAAAATCCTGCGTCTGACACTGCGCTGAAGTGACCCCAAGTGGGGATTTATAGATTTTTCACATTGAGGGTTACACTAATCAGGTCTGCCGTTTCAGAGCTTCTTAGCATCACAGTGAGATATTAGATTTTTCATAACAGTCTTGATTCTTTTTTGAAATGGATATTTAAAAAACAAGTTGAGTAGATTGTCTGTGATCTTATTGGTTAAAACCTGACTTAAGTGATATTTAAAGAAAACAGGAACAGCTCAATTTTTGGTCTCATCAACCTTTCTATTAGGGGTTGATATAAATTTAGTAAGGTAGCGAGCTTAAGTTTTCCTTGTTATGATTTGAAGTTATGTACTGATGAGCGAAAAAACGAATGCAGAGAACTTGAAGAAATTTATTATGAGCTCTATCTAATTGCTTTATTTGAAGCAGGTGTCAGCAGAGTTTGAAGAGCAGTGGGCTAATGGCAAAGTAGATGGATGGAAGGACGGGGCTCAAGAAAATGGACCTATATCTGATGAGCATACTTCCATTGATCTGGACTATTATAGTACAGTCGAGGAACTGGTTGAACTTGGTCCTGAGAAGTTGAAGGAGGTAAGAGACATATCATACAATTTTATTAGGTAGCTCTGTCCAATCTGTATGGGATGTTGCTTGTTAAAGGGACATAAAGAAGTCTGATCTATATGATCATTTCCGCTTCCAAACACCTCAGGTTAGAACGTCCTAGGAGATCTACCAGACTATCTTGAAAAATATGTGATGTTAACTTGTAATCTGGACACACGTTACCTGTTAAATTGAAGTGACTAGGTAGGTAGCTCCAAGAGTATGTTAAAATGCTAGGGATCAACTTAAGTTTAGTTCTTATCGAGTAAACAATATGTTATGATTTTTCTTTTCTTTTTCTTGATTTCTATCTTTTGTGATAGCGTTGCTGGGTTGAATTATTTGCCTGCTTAGAAACTATGCATTTCTGCTACTGTTTCTTTGGATGAGCATGATGCATTGTCAAGTTTAATTGAGTTTGAGAGATTGTGTGTTCATAGTTATAAGGGTGGGATTTCTGTCCATAATCAGTTGTGGAGCTTTGATCTCGTCATTTTTGAAGTGGATCCGTTGTTTGTAAGCTTGCTTTTTGAGTTTATGCTTAGTAAGATCCAGTAAGAAGTTTCTTATTATGCTTAGTAAGTTCCAGTAAGAAGTTCCTTTTTATTGCCTCTCTTTTTGCTAATTTTCTATCTTGTTTGGTAGGCTTTGGCTGCACTGGGATTAAAGACAGGAGGTACTGTTCAACAGCGTGCAGAAAGGCTTTTTCTTACAAAGGTATTTGAATTATATCTCTTTCATCTATGATTCACTCTTGATAAACGTGTTGCTGGTCTTGTTTATCTATTACTTTTAAGTAACTTCATGATTAAAGAAGGTAAGAAGTAAAACTCTTAGTTAAGTGTGTTTTTGAATAAGATTCGTGCACTAGAATTTGTATACACATGGCGTGAAACTTTAACGAGGCTTAGATGGAAGCATTTTTTCTTCGTGATCACATACATATGATGCCTGCTATTCCTTATAATTTCTTTGTTTGTCAAGGGCACCATTGTTTCGCTTCCTAAAACATTCTTCAAATGTCTTTAGAAAACTATATGGGAAATATGATTATTTTCTTGTCCTGGCTAGAGGACGGATTTGGACGATGATAAGGATGCCAAGTTTTTAGTGGAGGATATTGTTTCAACCCTTCGTCAATGATAACATATGGATTCTTCAATTTTATATATACTGCTCACTGTGATACCAATAGTTTTCGTTATCATATCAATATTATTCGGATTTGTTTTAGGCTGTATAAATGGCATTATAGTGGGTTTCAAGAGATTGGGTGCACGGTCTCATCTGGTGGCTGTTACACAAATCATGCTTGTATGATATGCTGTTTTGTATTGTGGTTTGTGTGTCACTTGATTATGACAATGGACAAGGATGTGATGTGACAGATGCGTCAAGTAATAACATTTTACTCTTTGTAAGTTTTGGTCTGTAATCTCAAGAGTAGCTAGTTTGCTGATGAGCTTGTCATTTACGAGGGCTGTAGATATGCCGTTGGAGGATTATAAGAATTGCATACCTTGTTAGTTTCTCGTTTTTATGGTAGATGAGTATGAGAACTTGGTAATGTTGTTGCATTTGGTTGCTTTAGATGTGCTTGTATCATCTTATTTGAGAGATCATGCAGCAGGCTGTGTACAATGCTCTATACAAAATGATATTCCTTATGAGTTGCAAGAGCACTCTTTTCTTTTTGTTATTCTTTTCATACTGGAGTATTGCCCTTTTAACTTTGGAAAGGTGACCCGTGAATTGTCTAGAAGGATCACACGTTAACTTTATGTACGACAGTGCTTGACATGTGTTTTGAGTGATCCCAATTTATTGATTGATCTTGATATAAGATATCTATGTACTCGTGGACAAATGATAAACTGGCATTGTTGTTGATGATGTATTTCAAAAGAATTTGTATGAGTTTGCAATGGTGAAATTACTTCCCATAATTTCACAATGAACAAAAATGTCGAAGTCATTTCCATTTACATTGAGACCTTACTTTCAGGTTTTGTGGCAGATGTGATCTCAATGTGAGTTATTCCAGGCACTTTTATTCTTGTGTTGTTTGTTACTCCTTGAATATAAAATCTCATAGTCACTTTCTATATACTCGTAATCCTGCAGCACACACCTCTTGAAAAGCTAGATAAAAAGCATTTTGCAAAAGGTGCACAAAAGCCCAAACAGAATGGCGTGGTTGCTGCTTCACATCAGAATGATGATTCACAAGAGATTGCCCTGATGGAGTCCAAGATAGAGAAGCTATGTGAAATATTGTCAGAAGTAAGTTGGTTAAATTTCTTTTTTATTTCTTTATCCTTGATTCTGTCGGTATTTTCATTGCTTCATCCCCCTCCCTTTAGATATATTTTTCTTTTGAATGACAAATGATGAAAGTATGCATCTAAGTATGTCAAAGGTATTCTATTGTTGACGTTGGTATGAACCTTTTCTTTATGCAGACAATCATGCGAACAAAAGAGAATGTGGAGAAGAAACAGGCTCTGACATATGAGGAAATGGAAGCTGAAAGGGAGGATGTAAGATCGTTTTTATGCTTCTCTTCCCCCTCCCACCCGCCAAAAAGAAAAGAAAACCAATCCTTATTCACTAAGGCTGAAAAGAAACAAAAAGTAAAAGTTGGAAGAATAATCTGTAGAGGGCTTCATTGTCAGCATAGAACTTGCGTGCCAAAAACAAGGAATTGAGCCACTCACGAAGAGAATGGCTCTTTGCACACAGTTTCATGGCTGTGAAAGTAGATGAATAACTAGAAGTAACTTGGAAAACTGGTTCTTGTGGCACATATAGATGTGATGGATATAATGGCACTTATCTTTCCGTCCATTATGGGTTTTGCTTTATTATTTTTCTGTATCTCAGCCATGGTTCATCTTTTCTTCTCTAACATAATTTTCAGGAGGAAGTACCTGACATTGAGAGTGATGACGAGGACCAGCAAATATATAATCCATTGAAGTTGCCAATGGGTTGGGATGGAAAACCTATACCGTACTGGCTGTATAAGCTTCATGGCCTCGGCCAGGTACTCTTTCGAATCTTGACCTGCTTTTAATGTTCTTGTACTTTTCCTTGAACATGTAAATAACATGGAAATAACAAATAACCATTAGATAACATGTCTTCAATTGTCTAATTATTCTTCAGGAGTTCAAGTGTGAGATATGTGGAAACTATAGTTACTGGGGACGAAGAGCTTATGAGCGTCATTTCAAGGAATTCCGACATCAATATGGTATGCGTCGACTTGGTATTCCAAATACCAAAAACTTCAATGAGATCACGTCAATTGAGGTATGCCTTTTTAATCATTTTCATATTTATGGTGGTACTTGTTTTTCACTCTATATCTGTTATAGTTCTGTTTCTTTCATATGTGTGTTCTTTTTCCTCCGGCTTTTTTTTTGCTTCCAAAAGGTGTAAATATTGCTCAAAAAGTTGGAAAAAAAAAGAGAGACAATGCTCGTTTAATTTGGAACGGATGTAATTTAACTTCTATCAACTTGCTGCAAATCACTTCGTAAATCTAGTTAGTATTGAACACAAGACAGTTCTTTAACATGGATTCTGATTTGGTTCATTTGAATGAAAATTAGTTTGTGAAAGTTAGACGATGCTAAGTTAGTAGGTACGTACTTGCAGGAAGCACAACAACTGTGGGAGAGAATAAAAGAGAAGCAAGGGGTGAACAAATGGCGACCAGAACTGGAGGAAGAATATGAAGACCGAGAGGGCAACATTTACAACAAAAAAACATACACCGATCTTCAACGTCAAGGCTTGATATAGATGTTGTCTTCCCTTGCAAGTAAGCCCCTATCAGTTGATCACGACTATTAGTCATTTAGGTATATAACCTTAAATGAGATTTTAATTAAATCCATAACCACAAGGGTGGTGCCTGATTGGTTTGAGCTTGGCTCCAAAGGTCAAAAGTACCAGGAGGTCCCAGGTTCAAATCCAAGGAGGAATAAAAATCCCCTTGTGGCCACGGAGGTTCAAATGCGGTGAGATGGTCGCCTTGGGATTAGTCGGCTCGCTAGCGGGTTGGATATCCAGGTTAATAAAAAAAGAAACGGCTTCATGCTTATTAAGAAGGTCATGGATTTAATTGAAATCTCATTTAAGGTGATATGCGTCAATATCCTTTACAGTATTCATTTTTCTGCTCTTCACGCCTTCTGTTATTTGCAGCAGTCGTCAGAAAATGCAAATGAATGTTCTAACAGGCATATCGATCATGTTTTTTTGTGGGAAATTACGTGTGAAATTTCTAGCGAAGCCATGGCTGGGATCAGAAGCAAGAAGCAGATTATTTTTTTGGTCGAAAATTTTACAACGATGCCAGTATTGTTATGGTTTGTTACGAACGTTAACTTCCTCCCTTGTCGTTGTATTTGTAATCTTAGAGCATTGGTGCTAATTAGTCGTTAAATTCGTCACATATAATCCATCACCATCGATATCTTTTTGCAGTATGATTAATGCTCTTCCTTTTTTCCGAGAAGGAACTTTTCGTGGCCAATCGATTATTATGGTCGTACTTGAAACCACCATTGATGTGAAAGCTTTTGCAGCATATGCTTTATCTTTGATATGTTACGAATCGATTTGCATACCTTTGCTCTGTTTCTTCTTATTTTGTTCATCTAGATTATTTAGTATATGATTTAGCTTGATTTATACATAGAATTTATCCATAAAGATCAAGGGGTTGTTTGTTTATTATTTAATAGTTCGATTAAGAGGCAACATCTGAATCATTAAAAGGTGAATCTTGTTTGGCAAAAAAAAGTTTGCCTCTTAATAGTTCTAAAACCCTTCGAATGATTTTGTATCATGAGCATCCTTTAACCATTAAGCGCCTTGATTTCATTGTAAGCAATTACCAAACAACTATATTTCATTTTGCACTATATCATGAAAGCTCTTAATCATTCTGACAACTTTATCATTTTGCACCAAATCATTCAACAACTGCTAAACAACCTTTAAGATAAACAATCGGGTCAAATCGCCTGCTAGAGAAGCTCTTTAATGAATCCATCACCCGAAAGCCCTATGAATTGAACGGAAAGAAGGTCGGATTAACCCTGAAACAAAAATGGACTCGGACTTGTATGGCAAAAGCATATTTTGATGAATTGTTGTTTATGTGAGCTACCCTTAAGCAACATATCAAAGATTCAAGGTCTTTTTAGTAATAGTTCAATGGTACTCATAGCTTATTCAAATAAGCCATATATAAATATCGAATAGTGACTTAATAATATAAAAATAACTTACTTTAAATGAACTTTCATCTATATTTTCAGTTTAATTTATTTTTGCCAAGAAAACATAGCCATAAAATTACCTGTTCTTTTTTTTTTAAATATTATTATTAACCTAGATATTCAACCCGTTATGCAAAAAAATTTACCAGTTTTCAACATAAAGTTTGAAATTTGGAAGGCAAACCAAAACTATGATAAATGAGGTATGCATCTTTCCAGAGTTCCCTACTCTTACTCATATCATATCTACCATTCATTATTATTTTTTCGTTTTCCTTTTTTCTTCTTTTTCCCAAAAAAAAAAAAAAAACAAAATAAAGAGCTGCTGCTGAGACCATTTCCATTTTGTATACTCTGCTTTTGTTTATGTTATTCCTAATTCATAAATTTCCGACAATTCTGCGCTTTACATAAACACGGCACTTTGCATTCATCGCTTTCATCTGGATCAAACAAGTAATCATACCTGCATATCAAAACCAATATCTCAATTAATTGGGTTGCATTGGTTGTACAAATAGACATGGTTGCATTTGAAATATACCCTCTCTCTCTCTCTCTCTCTCTCTCTCTATATATATATATATATATATATATATATATATATGTAACTTACGTTAGTTCATCACCCGTTGCCACGTTAGTTCGTGCAATAAGTACGATACGGCTTTCATCGCCACCAACGCTCATGATCCTTGCATAGCAGTTTGGCATACACTAGAACAAATAACATCACTCAACAGGTCAGTTTGTGTTACAAAAAAGACTCTGAAACGTGCGAAAAAAGGGTAGTTAGGGAAGTACAGAGTGGTTGATTAAACGTGCTACGTTTCCTTTGTCTGTTGCATCCACGACCACTTCTTCGCTGATTTTAAACAGCTGCCACAAAGCAAAAAAGCGAGATTTTATGCATTATATATGAAAAAACGATTCTACTCTTTTGGGTAGAGGTCAGATCCGGATCCCACATCTGGGGTGGGGCATACAAAAGAATTGGGAAAACTTACGTAGCAGTCTTTGCCTTCTCTGCGATATCGTGCTTCCCTTAGATCAGCAACGCTGCGCCTAACTTGTTCACCACGATATTCCAAAACCTGCAAAAGATAAGTGCCCACGTTTCTATTTTAATCTAATACCAAAACAAGTGCATATTTTTCCAATGGAGAAACTCGTTACTCTTCCTATCGTGAAGGGTAAAATTGTCATTTAGTTAGGTGTAACAATTAATCTTTTTAAAACTGTGCCTTTTTTGATGTGAACGTTTATTTCGGGACAGAGGGAATACGACATTTGACTCGTCAGATATTTAACACAAGTGTTTGACCGCTAGGGAAACGTTGCATTTCTTCATAGGAGTTTCAAACATAATAAGAACTCAGAAATGGAATTAGTATTCGTTTTTTACCATTTCTCCTTCCAATATGTTTCGACGTGCAAAGAGGCCCCATCCATGTATTCCCGATCTACCAAAGCAAACCCGATCATTTTCGGTTCTCTGCATTTACAATCAAAAATCAACTCTTTTGCAACTATTTCATGGAAAATTTGTAGATAAAACATGCCCGTATTTGAAAACGTGAAACTTTGCCTGTAAATGACGCAATCTTTCTCTAAAAGTAGAAAAGCTTCGAGGTTCTTGCATCTCCTGTAGAAAAAAGGCATCAGGTGTGTGATCTATGAGCCTTTTGCAGAAACCGATGCTAACAAAAGCAAAAATTATTACTCTGAGACTGTTCAAGCGTTGTATCGTAGTTAAAGAGTGATGACATGGTCTGGTAACTCGGTGCATGATTAGCCCGTCTCCTGGCTTCTGAAACACACAAAATTCAAAACGAGAAGGGCATGAATCGACACATTTGTGGCTAAATCTCGTGGTTAAAAACGTCAACGTGCTGCTTAGACTACCTTGGTGTGAGATCTCTGGTGCACCCTGCACCTTGCTGCAGAAAACGGCTCGGTCTCCGTCGAAGTCTCGGAGATTGGAGCATCTCGAAGTTGTAATCTTCTTGATGAGATCAATCTCGAACCGCTCTTGTTATTGTTCAGGAGTAGGCTTTTAGCCGAGATTACCCCTCCTGGGGTCTGAATTATTAGGACGGTATCCGGATTCGGAGCCCTGAAAGAAAACACGAAGATTAAGAACCAGAACTCCATATACAATTCCCATCATATATTCTTTATGAGATCTATGAACACATATAAAGTTTAAAGCCAAAGGGGATGGACTGAACATGTAACCGGTTGGTCTGGTTCGATTTTGGTATGCAGGATAGGACAGCACAAAAACTTGGTGTCCCACGTTTCAAATATCAGGGTCAAGTTTTTTTTTTTTTGATTAACATGGATATCCAACCCGCTATGCGAGCCGACTAATCCCAGGGCGACCATCTGCTTTGCAGATATCCCGGAGTCACCGCATTTGAACCTCCGTGGCCACAAGAAGATTTTTATTCCTCCTTGGATTTGAACATGTGACCTCCTGGTACTTTTGACTTTTGGAGGTAAGCTCAAACCAATCAGGCACCACCCTTGTGGTTATATCAGGGTCAAAATTGGTAAATACTAAACTACCCATGTCTTTTTAAAACCCTAAAACCTTCCACAATTCTTTCACCCTGCTACCTCTCTCTAACCCGTCCACGTATACTTGATTCCAATTTTTCTAATTCGAGCAATCGGACAGTAGGGCTTAACGCCCTTAGACGCTCGTACCTGTGATAAGCGCAATACGACACCATCCTTGTAATCTGCTTCCCGTTCTTCTCCAGGGAATGCAACTGCGGAAAGTATCACGTCTTAGAATCATTGTCTGACTGATCTATTAGAGTTAACAAAGAAACCGGGTGTCCACAAGGTCTTAAACATCGGAAAACAGTAAGCTCACCTCCATGCGATAGCCAGCTCTAGATGCACATGTTGCATGGTAATAAGTTGAACACTTGGAGCATTGTGTACATGATCCATGAATTTGCTTACAAACGACACAAATCTGAAACAAGGCATGAGTTCGTTAACTCACTTCATCGTTCGAAAAGATTCAGGTACTAAGAAAATTATTATTGGCCGAAGATGGCTGAACGCAAACGAACTTGGTCATAGAAATCTGACTGTTTGTCAAATATATAAAAAAAATACCCCCTAAAAAGGATAAACTGTACTATTTTCTTCGTATGGTAAAAATAAATAAAAATGTAGTACCTTTACAAAAGAGTTTGACGGGATACTCAAAATTCCAAGCGCAGGCTCCATCTTCTCGTCACTTGCAAAGCAAACTTCAGGCCGAAACCAAGCGCAGGTCACGTGGACCCAGAGGGGCTCAACATCAGTAGGCTTCATAGCACCTCCTGAAATCAGAATTACAAAATAAGAAATCCGAAAAAAAATTTATAAGTGGCAACGTTTCGTTCAATACTCAAAAACCCAAAATTCATTAAAATTATCTTTCCCATCTCTTCCTTATGGGACATGAGAAGAATTTAAAAGATCCCGATATTCTACTTACAAAGGAAACATGGTGTATCCCACCTGGAGGTGGGGTCTGGGGAGGGTAAGATGTATACAGACCTGATCTCTACCCCAAAGAGTAAAGTGGTTGTTTCTGTGAAGACCCCGAGCATGTGTGAAAAAAAGAGCAAGTCAAAATGATAAAGATTTGAAAGTTCATGCCTTTTACAGGACAGAGGCAGCACTCTCGCTCAACATCTGGTGTCTCGCAGGACCGGCAAACCCATGAAGTAAAATCCTGAACATTTCTTGCACCATAGCATTCTTGATGCACGGCTATTTGACATCTGCCATGAAGTACAGAAAATCAACAAGATTTTCCCGAATTTTTTAAGATTCGCTTACATCATTTTTCTCCATTCTTTTGTGGATCATCAAGTATATGGACACAGAATCACGTATTCACTTTTTTCCATGATATATAAAATGGACGCACAATGTGAAAATGTTAAAACACCTAAATGAATAGGATATTGACTAGACCTGATGCATATAATGATCTTGTTGTAGTCCCAATCTTCAATCCAACGACATACGGCACAACGTTCAGTTGTCCACTTGGCATATACGGGCTCATATTTTTCTATCAAATCAAATTTATCAGCAATTACGAAGAAACATCCAGCAGTTTCTAGAAACTGAGCATACCTTGTAGAAAACTAAGCAATTTCTGCTTTCGTGCTTTTAAAGAAGGGCGCTTAAGAGAATTGACAGAAACAACGGTACGAGCATGATACTCAGCTACTTGCAGCATCTGCAAGATAACAATTGTTTAAAGAAGTGTCTTAAAAAATTTGGTAGTATGTAATCAATTCTAAACGACCTAACGAAATAAAAAAGAAGACATTAATTTAGAAAACAGAAAAGGAAATAACCGGTTCTGTTTACAGACCCATTGTTCGAGTGGCAGCAAGGAACCCTTCACCCTGATGCTTGTTTTCCAATTTTTCACTTTTGAACCTGTGTGCCGCTCCCATTCACTAAGTGCCAGCTTTTCTGACCCGCAAGACCCGCACTTGCACACAACCCTTCAACAAAAAAACTAATGTTAGAGCACGGGCTTCATTCCATTTAAGGAAAAAAATTATATGATTCATTCAAAAGGCTTTTTGAATTCCCTGTTTTCTTGAAGTGTCTACTCTGGATGATTGGATGCTTCAAATTTTTACTTTAATGAATACAATCATTATGGAAATTAACGATCATAACATCTGAACATAAGCTAAATGAATCTTTAACGAAAACCCATCATATAGAATTAAAATTTACTCCCTCCCTCCCAAAATAATGTCCACTTCAAAGTAATTGCCTGCGTCCCAATTCTAGCCTCCATTATGAAGGGTAAAATTGTCATTTAGTTAATTAAAAAGTGTAAAACAAACCACAAGGGTGGTGCCTGATTGGTTTGAACTTGGCTCCAAAGGTCAAAAGTACCAGGAGGTCCCAGGTTCAAATCCAAGGAGGAATAAAAATTCCCTTGTGGCCACGGAGGTTTAAATGTGGTGACTCCGGGCTATCTACAAAGCAGGTGGTCGCCCTGGGATTAGTCGGCTCGCATAGCGGGTTGGATATCCAGGTTAATAAAAAAAGTGTAATACACATTTTTAAAACTGTGTCTTTTTCATTACTGACATCTACTTTGGGACGGAGGGAGTATTATATAAGAGTTCATTTTATGTACACAGGTGACAGATAGCTCCTAGATAAACGTAAGAACATCTCCAACAAATTCTCCATAATTTCTCCAAAATGCACAAGCAAAAGTTAGAATCTCCAAGAAGAAAAATGCATTCAACTCCAACAGTTTCTCCATTTTTAAGATTTCAACATTAATTATATTATTAAAATATTCAATACATCTAATACCTCAATCCCCAAGTACCCCATAGTTATGAATCCAATGAGTACTTTACTCACAGAGTATGGCACACTTGTCGCCATTTTAAGGACCGCCCATAATAAGATCTCTACTATGGCATTTATAAGAAATAATCTCTAAAAAGACACGAAAACGAATATCAACTTAATCTAGAATAACAGTTTTAATATAGTTATAGGCAAGTAATGTAATAGCGGACTGGCATCCATAGAAAGAAGGATATCCGGTGATTGATGCTATAAATCGTTTTTGAGATGGATGCATCCCCAAACTACAAATAAAGATAGAAAATTTCTAATCTTTTTTCATACTTTATTCAGATGTGGGCACTCCTCAGCCCAAAAGGTAGCACTGAATGTGGAATTCCAGGTGGACGGTTGATGAAGAACGAAAAGCACTACTTTTAGCCAGAAGAAGCCAAGCAACACTCTAAAAGGATGATACAGGTTTGAAACTTTGGCTTAACAATGAACTACCAAAATGATGATGTCAGCAAACTATAGTTGTTCGGGTACACAGTAAGAAAGGCATAAACTGGACTTCTTACAAAAGAAAACCTCAAAATTATGCAGTTACCGTCCTGTTAGTACCTCCCAGCTATTCCCTTACCTATCTCTGGTTACTCCCTCCGTCCCAAAATAAATGTCCACGATGAAAGAGGCACACAGTTTTAAAAATGTGTAAATATTACACTTTTTAATTAACTAAATGACAATTTTACGCTTGATACTAGAGGGAATAATTAATTTCTCCGTCTCATAATTAAGGGTAGAATTGGAAAGTAGACTTTTCCTTTGAAGGTGGATACTCATTTTGGGACAAACTAAAATAGAATTGTGGACACTTATTTGTGGATGGAGGGAGTAATATAAAAGTGCAACTCAGACACTTGAAAACGATAGCATGCTCCTCAAGTTAATAGCTAAAAACAGGGGTGGGGATGCAACTACTCAATGTAAATATAAGCAAAAGTGAAAGCGTATGCATTACTGTGATTTGATCTATAGGCATTTACAATAATTCAACGTGTTCAAGTTTATTCATTTCTCGTTTAAGACTTCAAATTCTTATGCACTGGCAAATAATTACGATGACATTATTTCCACATCGTACACAAATACACAATTAAAACAAATTACTAGGCATCGGACCATGTACCACCAGCCGATGAACTAATACTAGAAAAAGCAACAAATGGAGGAAGAAATAGTTGAATGCCAACTAATGACATCAGTTTCATTTAATAATGATCACAAGCCCAAGCCACACAAACAAGTACTCCCTCCGTCTTAAAATAAATGTTCACAGTGAAAAACGTACACAATTTTAGAATAATTAGCCAAATGACGATTTTACCGTCAATAATAGAGGGAGTAATTAATTTCTCCATGTCATAATTAAGGGGAGTTGGAAAATACACACTTACTTTTGAAAGTGGACACTTATTTAAAGACAAACTAAAATAGAAATGTGAACACTTATTTTGGGACGAAGAGAGTAGTTCTTTGACAACAACTAAAGGTATCATCAAACTCACTAGGTTTCCTTTTAGAAGAGAGAGAGAGAGAGAGTGTGTAGTTATTAGGAGAGAGATTGTGCATTAACACACGTGGTTGCCATAGATTTGCCGGATAAAAATGGTATAAAAATTTGAATAGAAAACTTGAGCTTAAAACTTATGACAAATGTTTTTTTCTGAATAAAACATGGATAACTCATCTATGACTTAAAAGGGATGTATATGCTTACAAATGCAGGCTTGGAAAGTATATGCCTTCCACGCCTGTGCAGACAACAGTGACCTTATCGGGCAGCACCATTTCCTCCTGCTTTTTTGAATATCTGGAATACAAACATCATCTTTATTAGGTACACACTGTTTGTAAACCGAATGAGATAGTGATCAAATGTATATGAAAAACTTACCTGTGTTTAGGCTGACAAGTTTCTGAATCTGATAACTCAAAATTGAACTTTGCTTTGCAATCTGGGCAGTAGTATTCGGTTGTCCCAAGATCCTACAGAATGATTTTGACATATAAGACTGCAAGAAATGTCATAATGATGACGAAACCACAAGAAGATCAAGATTGATGAAATACCTTGAAATGATGACCAGAGATTTTATCGCATTCCGCATGCACCCACACTTTACAACCATCACAACGTACCTGATGTAATCAAAACCTTTTAAACTTAGTTCTTGAAAGAAAAATGGAGGAGTTTCGAGTAAGAAGGTGCAAGAGCAAGTAAGTTCAAAAAGAATTACTCCCTCCGTCTGAGAATAAATGTCCAGAACAAAAAAGGCACACGGTTTTGAATGACGACCTTACCAACTAATAGAGGAGTAATAAATTTATCACCATCATAATTGAGGGTAAAAACTGGAAAGTAGGCACTTACTTTTAAAACTGGACACTTATTTTGGGACAAACTACAATTGAAATGTGGACACTTATTTTGGAATGGAGAGAGTAGTATAGATGAGTCTAATCAATAGGTTACTCACCCAACTAACAGTATCGGCTCGATTCCATATCTTTTTGCATATGCCACAATAATGTTTTAATTTTGTCAACTGCAATAAGAAAGCATGCCATCATCAGCAGTAGACAATTACAAACAAGAATGTGAATGGCATGGAACCATGCATGTTATACGAACCCTGGCACATGTATTACAAAGAAGACGGCTACTAGGAGATGTATCGTTCATTTTTCTTAACATTCTAAGTGAGATTGTTGAACCACAGCCTTCACAGGATTGTGTGTGCCGCCTTTTAGATATTTCCTGAAAAAAGAACATGCAAAACATCAATAAAGATCCAACTTTCATCCACTAGAGCAATAAACCCAGACCGAACGGACCCAATAAATCCCCCTTGAGAGTAGGGTGGGTGGGTGTTGGGGTGGGGGGGTGTTGAAGTACGGAAACCTGTCTTCGACCCCAAAGAGTATTGAGGCTGTTTTTTAGAGACAAACTTGCCTGCTTTTGAGAGACATGTTCATGTTCCTGATGTGTCCCTCTAGCCTCATGAACACCTCTAGGGATAGCATCAAGATAATCCAAGTTACCAGCCGCTGCATTAATTTCAACCATTAGCATTTCTGTAAACCCATGTTCTGCTAGAAATGCCTCCTCTATTGCTGATCGAAGCACACTTGGCTCGTTATCATTCAAGTCGGTCTGGCCCTGAAACCTGAAGATAACCAATTTTTCATCATCTCCGTCCTCCTTTCCTATGAAACTTCGAATGTAAGAAAAAAACTGAACCATAGCAAACCTGTCAACATTTTCTACAAATGAAAATATCATTCCGCTTCTAATCCAAGCATAGTCCTGTTCGTCAAATATCAGTTTATCATAATTCTCATTATATTCTATGTCATTCAATTGCCCCTATGGGACGATTATAAGTAGTTTTAAGCAAAATGTTGAGATAATCTTACCCTCTGTGTACCATTTCCTGAGTACCCAAAGAACATGACACAAAAAGCATCATCAACCCGAAAGCCAAGAACTTGTTGGGGAGCATGCATTACTGGATCCAGAACAATGGCTGGCCAAGCCGGATAATGCTTTCCGGACTTGGCCCAAACTATATCACCCGGAGAAAATTCATCTGGTTCTTTAATATTTCCAGTCGTCTTCTCCACTTGCTCCTTTTGCGAACCATTCGAAAAACCATCCTTTTTTTCCCCAATCAAGATCGTGTTAACATTATCATACTGTTCATTATTATATCTCGAATACTTGTACTCCTCATCTTCAAATTCTTCAAACTTCAATGGTGGGGGTAAAGATTTACGACATTTATAACTAACTTTATCCCCGTTATGCTTCTTGTTCTGAATTTTTGGGATTTTGACGCTTGATTTGTCCTTATGAGGAGCAAATTCAGGATCAAAGTACAAGTCTTGATTAACATCAAGTTTGGTTTTTTCTTTCTTCCAGTTATCAAGAACTGAATCATTGAACCGAGAAGGAAGTACCTGAACACGTCCCCGTGAAGTCCTGACCAACGGCGGCCTTGGTGGTGGTCGGACGGAATCGTTATTAATAGCATTACTGGTATCCTCCAACTCCGTTTTTGGTGCATTCGATTTGGAGTCAACGACCACCACCTCACCGGTGTCGCTGCAGAAGCTAGGGATAACACCGGCGGGGAAATGAAATCCCAATTCACTGAGCGTAATGATCCCGGCGGCAACCTCTCCGAGCAGATGCAGAGGATAATAACCGTTGTTACTCTTCCGTTTCTTCCTAGATTTCCCCGACCACTCGTCGTCATCTCCGCCTGCCCCCGACTCACCAACTCGACACCGCTTCAAACTCGGCATTGCCGATTTCAACTTGCGCTTGATTATCATTCCCCCCACACTCCAATCCCCGAAACCCTAACCACCAAGAACCTCAATTCACAAAAACCTAATCTTCCAATTGAAGAAACCCAAACACTTTCTTGAAAGAAAATTCCCAAATGGTTGTTCTAACAATCAATCAAAACAACAGAGCATCCCACAACAACAAAAACAAGAGATTTGGGAGGGAAATTTCATCAATCAAGGTCTGTGTGAATTAGGGGATCTCTTTCTCTCACTTCCACGAAGCCACTGATAAAAAAATAAGTCGATGAGTTGTTTAAATTAACATTCCTCCACACCCAAAATCTCTAATTTCGTGAGCAACAAACGTTAAAGAAAAGAAATCCAAACCCAACTTCATGTGAGAGATAAAAGAGAAAGAGATTATAAAAATAGGGACGACAGATTTTATTTTACTGTAATTTTTCCTTTTCTTTTCAAATATATAGATACACCAATGTGTATGTATAGATACACTGCAAGCAAGAGGAGAGAGAAAGTAAGTTCAATGCTATCTTGCGCCCCTATTCATTCCCATTTCTCATTTCCCATTTCCATTCCCATTCCCATGAACAACTTCTTCTTTCACATAATCTTCTCTTCTCCTGTGCATTCATCACTTGAAATTTTTATGTTCTTCAAGAAACATGGAAAGTATTCCAATTTGTATGCCCATTTTTAATTCACTTTCTGTTCATATTAAAAAAGACAACACATTTGTAATGGGTTCTTTTATTCACTTGTGAATTTTCAAGAAACGAGTTTAATTTTGGTACACATAGTCCCGCCAAGTTTTGTTATTGTGGTTTTGTTTTTTAAAATCAAAAGTAAAAACCCATCGTCATAAATTCATTATTTTATTTTATTTATTTATTTTTTTAAATGATAAAAGAGATGAGGGTGAGAGGCGAAGCAGAAGCCACGACAAATACAATTGCTGCTGGAGACAAAGCTTTAACTGATCGGTCTTTTTGTGAAAGCTCCCTGTGCTCAGTTGATCAAAGCCATAAAAATCTTGTCTTTTTTTTTGGTGGATGATAAATGGTTGCACCATGATTTGTTGCTGTCCATATTCATCAACTTTTTTTGGTGGGAAAAGGGCACCTGAGCCTTGCCGGAGGCTCGCCGGAGCTTTAGAAGCTCTGACCATGTTTTGGTAGGTTCAAGGAGATTTAGATGTAGGAAGATGTGGGTGTGGTTCCATGAGCTTGGTGAAGTGTGTTGGTTCTATATATGGCAAGTGATGTGGGTTATGTAAGTAGAGTCAAAGGGTGTGCTTTTTCTTTAGATTCATGGTGGTATGGTATCCTACACTCTTTTAATGAGGCATGCTATTGTAGTTTTTCAAAGATGGAGTGTCACTTTACCAAACGTTTATTCGGGTAAACGTTTACCGAGTTACATTACTTTACCGGATGAATATGATAAGGGCTAAGAATCTTATCTGATAAGAACGGGACAAGGACCAAGAGTTTTATTCGGTAAGTGAGGGCGATGACTCTTACCATGGTAAGCGTTTACCGGGTAAATTGTTACACGTTTTGGTGAACTAAAATCTTATCTGGTAAGTAAATGATAGTGTTAAATTTTACCGGTAAGCACTTACCGAGTAAGTGTTTGGTAAACGGCCAAGGAGTTTAATTCATCCGTTAGTTGATAAACTAATCATTTTAATAAAAATTAATTGATAAATTAAATGACAATTTAAAATGATATATGTTAAAAAATTAATTAGAATTATATAAGAAGAATAACTGGAAAAAAGGACCGGAGGGTTTGTTAAAACATGGTTAGTTTTTTTAAAACGTTAGTTTATGACTAACAAATGGAACTTTTTTATAAGCTCGTAAATAGGCTTATTTTATGGTTGTGAAACATGTATCTACTCTGATAAAATTTATCTTGCATATGATTAGGTCTGTAAACGAACACGAACGAATGTTTGTTCGTGTTCGTCCGTTTAACTTAATCGAACAAACAAATAAATAAGAACAGATGTATGTTCGTGTTCGTTGATTTAATTTAATCGAATAAACGAACAAACACGAACGGTAAACGAGATTAATTTGTTGTGTTCATGTTTGTTCGTATTCGTTTATGTTCATTTATTAAAGTGTTAAACGAACGAACGCAAATATATTAAAATCAACCACCATTACCATCATTTCATTTCTAAAATATACATATAACAAAATAAAAAATCGGGTAAATAAGAGAGATAAAAAAGAAAATTCTAAAAATTTAATTTAATCAACAATTTACATATTAATATCATAATATATATAATATATTTATATATATAAACGAACATAAATAAACAAAAGAATGAGACCATTGTTTATATTTGTTCATTTAATTAAACAAACAAAAAATATTTATTTATTTATTAAATAAACGAATTTTTCATTAAACGTTCAATTCATTTACAACTCTCCCTAATTAATGATTGAATTGTGGTACGATACTTGTTTCGGTACGTAGTTGGGAGAGTATATGAAAACTTTTATAGTTTTATTGAACTTAGTCAACTTCTTAAAAAGTCAACGATTTGTCAGGAAATTTGAGGCTTTTATTTATAATAAATTTTATTTTAAAATAAATATATTCAGCCAGGCGAAACCCGATTCAGTTTTCAGAAAGGCTGAGACCCAACTTGGCTGAATGGCTGATCCAGCCCAGCCCAGCCCAGATGAACCCGTACTAGGCCTGCCAACTTTCATCAACAAAAACCAGTTCAGTTCATTCAGATATACAAGCCCATCATCATAACTCATAAATAAATAACTAGAAGGTCGTTCGTGCAATGCAACGAGATATGTATTCATTTTAATGTTTTGCTTTATTTTGTCTCTATTGATATAATACGGTTTATGTGGTTTTGAGAAAGATGATGTTTTTACTGTTAAATAAAAATAAATTTAAAGATATCATAAAAATTTGAAAAAGTATATTGATATTAATATCAAATTAAATTTTTTTAAAGTTCTCGTTTTTTTTTTGTATAATTTCTTTAATTCTATTTTCTATTATAATTTAATTTAGGTTTAATAACGAAATAATTTATTTTGGATTAACAATATAATTTTTATAAAAAAGATAACGATTCTGTTAGAACTTAAAATGAGATGTTTATCTTGTATTTGATTATGTTTATCTACGGTTAGTTATACGAATTTAAAATTGAAGCTTTAATAAGTTGTACTTACGCACAATTTACTTGTAATATTAAATTTTAAGTATTATACATTAATTAACAGTACTTCATGTATAAATGATGGTTTTTACGAGTTTTTGTCAAATACTTTATAATATAGTATAGATAACTTCCAAGATTTCAGATAATATCTACCAAATAAACAAACGCAAATTGTATAAAAATACAATATTAGATTCATATTTTATGTATCGTACTTTTAAACTGTCGTTTTATCAAACAATTAGGTACAACCTGGTTACATTTTGAAAATACATAAAAACGCAACTCGTTTTAATCGGATTCTTATTTTATGTAACATACTTCAATCTAAATGGTTGATATATATATATATATATATATATATATATATGGGCTTATTTAAGGGAGAACTGGTTAGTTTGTGGTAACCGTGAGATCCAATCTCAACCACAAATCAATAAATAAATTAGAAAATTTATAATTTTGGTAATTTTTAATTAAAATTTTAATGCAATGACATTTTATGTATTGTCTCTCCTCTCTCCGTCCCCATCTTCAGGCCACCGTCCTCCGGTGATACCACACTGTGATACTCAAGCACATATAAGATGCATTGTGATACCACTGTGTTACATATCCGATCGACCCCCACAAACGACCACATTGTGATACCCAATCACATATAAGATGCATTGTGATACCAATGTGGTATCACCAAGAACGATGGCCGGAGGCCGGGGGACGGAGAGAGAAAAGAGGAGATAGGAGAGATGAGAGAAAATACCTAAAATGCCCTTGTATTAAAATTTTAATTAAAAGTTACCAAAGTTATAAATAACCTAATTTATCTATTGATTTGTGGTTGAGATTGGACCTCACGGTTACCACAAACTGATCAGTTCTCATTTGATTAGGCCCCTATATATATAATATTTTTTTTTATCTCAAGTTGTTTGTTATCTGATTGTCTTGTTCTCATTTATTCCAATGATCATACATTTGAACAAAAAGAAACTATGACAAACACCATTATTAATGTTGAATTTGTAAAAAATCATCGTATAGCATAAAGTCAAGCACTTCCATTTCAAGACAACTTCCTTTGACTAAAAGGCTTGTAGATACATATTGTTTTTAACAATCCAAACCTCAAAAATCATTAACCACATCTCATTTCAATTTTTAAAGTGAAAATGAAGTGCTTATCCAATGACAACAATCATCCATTAACTTCAAACCAACAATATGCAAATTCATCAGACCCTCCAGCTTGAGAGCCATGACTTCAACAATATATGATGCTGCAACACATTTATCAGTTGAAAAATCTCTATCCACCAAACCCTTTTTAGCATTTACATAACCATGCAGCAAATTTGAAACTGAGACAAACAAACAGTTTAGCAAAACACAGAACCAATAACAAATTTTAATCCATTGAAGCAAAACCTGATGGCAAACCAAGCAAAGTCAGTTGAACCAAGAGCTGTTGAAACCAATCTCACCACTGATAAGCGTTTAGTAAACGAACTTTAGTATATGTTTACCAAGCAAAGTCAGTTGTGTTTTATGCAGGTGGCACAAATGTTGTTAACACTACCATACTCCTTTTCAAAATTGGGAATGACATTAGGGATTGTTCTTCAGATTTTTAATGGGCTTCTTGGCAGCTGGACTGTTTATCTTATAAGTGTGTTGTATGTTGAGTATAGAAGCAGGAAATAGAAGGAAAATGTTAATTTCAAAAACCATGTTATACATGTATATGTGCTTATTCAATTTGATTTGGTTCCTGAATTGTTCATAACTTAAACCAAACTAAATCCATAAACAAAAAACTTAATAATATTATTTTTATTGGTAGCTGTTTGAAGTTCTTGATGGATTGTTGGGGCCTTACTGGAGAGCAATAAGATTAGCATTCAATTGCACTTTTCTTCTCTTTGGCCCTGTCATACAACTTATAGCTTGTGCAAGGTATGTCTTTGTTTTTTCACCTAAAATCCATCAAATATATTACTGGGTACATCTTTATCTTTGGAAAGTTGTTGGTTTCATATTGATGAAGATATGATTTGTTGATGGTGATTTATGTGGAAAATGACAGCAACATTGTGCATGTTGTGCCACCAATGTCTTCATTCCTTCATTCGACAACTACAGGATTTGGTCTTTTCTTGGCCTTGGCATGACCAGTTACACTGCCTGGTACATGGCCATTGCAGCTTTAGTCCATGGCCAGATACACTTTCTATTTTTCCATAATCTGAATGAAGTGCTATATATATATATATATATATATATATATAGACACACACACACACACACACATTCAGACCTCAAGAATTATATACGATTCCAATGCCTGATGTACAAGTTCTCGTAGCATCATTGCTCAAGAATTTCTTGGTTGCTAAAAAGGTCCAGTTCTTGGATGAACAAAATCTTCATGAACCAATTAGTTTTATCAATTACCATTCTCATATTATATATTTTCTTTTAAAACCCATTAATTTAAGCTTACAATGAAACTACTGTGATTTTCTTGGGATTTTTCCTTTCTTGGCCAAAAATTGGATAAAATTTACACCAACAAAGAAAGTGCAAAACCAAATAAAAAACCACATGTAAACAAAATGATTCGAGAACACAGTGTAAACAGAAATAGACATTAAAGTTATGCAAACCAAATAATTACCGGATTGAAGGTTGAAGGAAGATGGATTCGAGAACACATTGTAAACAGAACGAATCGAGAAGACAGTGTAAACAGACAGATTCGAGAACACAATGTAAACCAAATATTCGAGAACCTACAAAAATATTCGAGAACACATGTCGGATTTCGATTAAGATCAGTGTAAACAGAACCCTAAACTTGAGAACACAATTAGATTTGTGTAAACAGAACTCTAAACTAAACTTGACCCTAAACGATTAGTGTAAACAGAACCCTACACGATTACCTGGAAGATTGAAGAAGATGACGATGGAGCGGTGGAAGTAATTGAGCTTTAATATATTGATGATTCGAGTAGAGAGAACGATGAATCGTTGTCTTGGGAGCGAAGGGGAGCCTGAATTGTCGTCTTGGGAGCGAAGGGGAGCCTGAATCGTCGTCTTGGGAGCGAGGAAGCCTGAACCGTCATCTTGAGGGGGTTGGGGGGGAAGGTCGTCTTGGGGAGTCCGTCTTAGACTGCAGGAAACTTAAAAGTTTTCTGAAATATGCTTAAAAAACAAGTATTTTGGGTTTTAGATATTGTACCTTTTTAAGACTTTTTTCAATATGCTTTATAAGATAGTATAGATAGATAGATAAGGGTATTTTGGGTATTTATAATTTTAAGACTTTAAGACTTTTAGTGAATTTGCTTAATAAGGTAGTATATATATATAGGTTTGTATGGTTTGTACAAATGAAAGTGGTTTTCATTTGATCGCTCTTCTCTCTCTTTATATATATATATATATATATATATATATATATATATATCACATCAGAGGTACCTAAGTGATGGTTTCGAAAGTAAGTCATATATTTTGTATTTTCTTGCAATTTGTCCGATAATTGAAAGAAACATCAAATTGACACAAATGACAAAACTTTCATGTTTTGCAACACAACTCGGATTCAAAGATTCCAACATACTTTTAGTGCAAACAGTATCTTCGTCAACAAATATTTACCACAAAATAAACATCTGAGGGACGTATACATATATTAGCAAGGTATAGCCGTGTTGAGAATTGGATTATTGGTTCCGACTGTTGTATCTTTGTTTTTCCGATGACAGCTCATTCCTAATAATTAAAAACCTTTTATTACTTTCTCATCAAGATATCGGTTTCTTCTGTCTTGGCAAACCTTCCTCTGATCCGTGGCTGACCGTCTGCCAACACCTTCCTGCAAGCGTACTAACACCAAAATACAGTAATAAAACAACTTCAGTTTGATGCATTTTTTTAATGAAGTGTTGTATTCGTTTTTTTATTGGACACTTATTGTTATAATAATTTATTTTAAATAATGTCATATAAAATACTGATATGATACTTTATTTTAAAACTGTTTTAAAAAAGTTGTTAAGTTGCCAAAAAAAATGTCTTATCAACTCCCTCCCTCGATCCCAAAATAACTTTCCACATTTTTGTTTTAACTAGAATAGTACTTGCGCAATGCAGCGAAATAAATCTCGATTTAATGTTTAGTTTTTATTTTGTCTCTATCGATACAATACGATTTTTATGTGGTTTTGAGAGATCAGTAATGTTTTTATTTTTGAACGATTTAATAAATCGATAATAGTATCAAATTAACTATCTAATAGTTCTCGTTTTTTTGGTGTAAATCTTTAATTTAATTTAGATTTAATAACAAAGTAATTTATTTTTGGTTTAACAATATAATTTTTTATAAAGATAATAATTAAACATTTTGTTAGAACTCGATGATTATCTTAATTATATTTTAGATTTTCAATATTTAAAATAGATGTTTATCCTGTATTTGATTATATTTATCAGCAGTTAGTTACAAGAATTTGAAAATAGAGTTTTAATAAGTTGTACATACGTAAAATTACTTGTAATCTTAAATTTTAAATAATATGCATCAATAAACAATACTTCATGCATAAAAAATGGTTTTTAAAAGTTTTTGTCAAATGTTTTATAATATAGTATAGATTTGTCCCAAATAACAATTTTGAAAAGTAATTGTCAACTTTCTAAATTTAGCCTTGATTATGATATCTAAGAAATTCATTAGTCCCTTTGTTATTACTACTGATAAATTGACAATGGATTAATTAAAAAATGTAATAATTACATATTTCTAAAATCGTGTGCGTTTTTCAACGAGAACATTTTATTTTGTGACGGAAGGAGCATTATAGCACCATTACATATGATGCACAATTGTTTGATCCTATGAACTTAAGTCTTATAAAGCATTCTATTAGGACATTTATATATAGTCAACGTCCTAAAAAGCCGATTTTGTTACGGTGTATGTCAAACATGGACATTACGCTTACGGGAGTGATAGAGAAAAGATTTTGTACCTTGATTTTTCTACCGAAATTCCTCTTTGTCTTCTTATCCCTGTATCTCGAGAGCTTCTGCGAGCGGGTTTCGGCGGTTTGATGATCACCGATAAGTTGAAGCTGCCAAACATGAGAATCCCAAACCTCACATTACCGTTAGTACGAGCATCATAAAAGAAAACTACGCTCAACGAGCCTGCGTTATCCTGATCTACTTCTACTTAACGGGCCTAGACTCATATGTAAACACGAAAACTAAATAAAAATCGAACCTTTATGTATCCTTCACTGGACACCCTTCGCATACCACGAACCTCCTTCAACTCGATTTCATTAAAATTCACGCAACTCGGCCTAATTTGAGCCCCATCCACCGAGCCTAAACTGATGGAGGTCGCACTTTTTGTGATGCTTTCCGGCGGATGCAAACTTTCTTCCATATCGTCTTTTGTCGTTGGGAATTCGAAATTTAAGACTTCTGAAGGAGACGATGCTTCGTTTGCCAATATATATTTATATTCGAAAAAGGGATTGCTTGGGAAATCGTCACTTTGAAGAGATTCGTGTGAAACGACTTCTTCACCACACAAGATCAATGACATGGCAGACGTCATATGATCGAGGGTAACCAACGGTTGTTCGATTATTGGTTCTGGCGCTTTGAAAAGATCCCCTTCGCCCCCAAGGTCATAATCCGATACGGTGGAGATCTAAACCAAGCAAACCGAATAGAAATCACTAGAAACACATCATACGATCAAACAAATGTGCAACTACGAAGAAAGTAAGCACACAATCCGTTTCAAGAAAACGGACATCGAGTGTTCATAATGCCAACGGTATCTACTATCCATGAAACTTGACAAAAAGGGTGACCGCGGTGCACCTCCTTTCCCTGCAAGAGTCGTGAGGAGATCTATTCGTATATAACCTTCTGCTCGCGGATTTGCAAAGAGGCCGTTTCCAATATTAGAACCACTACAACAAAATCAGCTTTATAGAACAGTCAGATATGTCTATTTTTTGTTCAAATGTCAAGTTATAGGACGAAAAGAGGCCGTTTACCAAACACTTACCCGGGTAAGCGCTTACCAAGTCACATTACCTAACAGGATGAATTTGGTAAGAACCAAAAATCTACCCGGTAAGAGCGAGACAAGGACCAAGGGTCTTAACCCCGTAATCCAAAACTTGCCCTTGTCTATGACCTTCAGATTGGGTGTGACCCTGGTGCACCATGACCACTTGACCACTTGACTTTGTAAAAAGTGGGTTCAAACCACTTGAACTCAGAGCGATTAAACAATTGAGATGGTTATTCTGGGACGGAACCAACGTTTTCTAATGGATTTTAACCAAAACACAGACAAGAAAGTCAAGATTAAATTGCTAAAATAAGACATAAAAACAAGATGTCAAGAACCCTAATTACCAAATCACATTTCATAAGGTCAAACCCAGAAGTCAAAGATTTCCAAAAATGAGATTACCAGGAAAGGATTGGGCTTCTGTGAGTGATACAAATCATCAAAGCATTGATCATCTGGTGAGAAATAATGGAACATTGTGGCCAAGATTTTCTTTAGTTGACCAAAAAAAGTCAAAACCCCTGTTCTTCAAGCAAGAGAGGATGAAAGCACCTGGTTGGTTGTAAATGGAAGCCAAAAAGCCTGATCAGATGGGTACTACTTGATTAGCGGAAGGTACAACACTCCACTGCACAAAAGTAATACAGAGGCAGAGGCAGAGGAGAAAGATTGATCCCAATGGGTTTTGATGTTGCCACTTCTTCTTCTTCTTCTTCAATTTATATGGGAATGAACAGACATTTTAGACTTCACTTCTTTTTTTTCCGACTCCAGATTCGTTTTTTGAGCCACTTTTCTTAAATAAAAACATTCATGGTTCTTTTTATTAACCACGATATCTAATCCGTTATGCAAACTGATTAATTTTAGGACGACCACTTATTTTACAGGTAGTCCGAAGTCACCGTATTTGGACATCCGTGGTCATAAAAGAACTTTTATTCCTCCTTGAATTTAAACCTGAAATCTTCAGGCATTTTTAACCTCAAATCAGTCAGATACCACTCTTAGTGGTAAATAATAACATTTTTTTGCAAATATTAGGAGGTAAATACCCAAAAAAAAAAAAAAACCCGATGGAATTTTTTTTAGAGATTAGGTTTTGATATTTTTTAAAATAAATAACTTTTTGTATTTATTAAAATTGAAAAAACAACAAAATATTATTAACCAAAATAAAAAAGGAATAGTACCATTTTTATTGATCGTTATTCATTTTTAACCATAAGGGTGGTGTTTGATTGGTTTGAGCTTGGCTCCAAAGATCAAAAGTACCAGGAGATCTCAGGTTCAAATCCAAGAAGAAATAAAAATCCCCTTGTGACCACGGAGGTTCAAATGCGGTGACTCTGGACTATATGCAAAACAAGTGATCGTCCTGAAATTAATGAACTTGCATAGCAAGTTGAATATCCAGGTTAATAAATAAAAAAGTTAATAATTATAATTTTTATATTCAAATAACAATCACATGGGTTATGACCATTTGATTGCCATTGAATTTGGAGACAAAAAAGATGATCAGTAGTTTGTTTTTTAATCTGAAAAATAAAAAATGTCCAAAAGAAATTGTATATTTCTTTTGTCTTATCGTAAATAATTGTATTTTGCCACTGAATAAGTTGGTATATCGAGAGATAAATTATATATTTATTTTCGTTTTATAATAATAACAGTTTATTCGTTCAAAACAAATGTTTTAAACGCAGAAAATATGAAAGTTCATCAGGTTTTTCCGGTTTCAGTAAATTCAATGAATTATTTGTTTGATTTCAGTGAAACCGTCTTTTATAATCCGGTTTAGCAGGTTTGACATCAAGTGACCAATCTAAATCGTTATTACAGTTTGGTTTATGATTTAAGGGTTAAATCGTTTAAACCGCACTGCAAACATCCCTAATTAATAAACTGATTTAATTGTATAATTCAAAATGAATATGGCAAAGCAATGACTCAAGTGCTTCCTTATCATGTTTATTATTTTAGTTAAAGTTGATTGTAGGTACCACTATTACTGCTCCATGTACCACTTCAAATGATTGAATGGTAAACTTTATTTCACCAAACCCCCCAACAATATTTTAAGTTTCATTTTTTTTATTAACATGGATATTCAACCCGTTATGCGAGCCGACTAATTCCAGAACGTCTACATGTTTTATAGATAGCCCAGAGTCACCGCATTTGAACCTCCGTAGCCACAAGGGGATTTTTTATTACTTCTTAGATTTGAACCTGAAACCTCCTGTTTAAGTTTTATTTTTGGTTTCTTAATACAAAGATTTTACTTTTTCAAATATTAAACTATATAAATGTTTGGTTTTTCATCAAAATATATATATATTATTCTTAATATAATGTATTGAAAGTCAACCACAAGGGTGGTGTCCGATTGGTTTAAGCTTGGACTCCAAAGGTCAAAAGTGTCTGGAGGTTCTAGGTTCGAATCCAATGAGGATTAAAAAAAAATCCCCTTGTAGCCATGTAGGTTCAAATGCGGTGACTCTGGGCTACACGCAAAGCGGATAGTTGCCCTGTAATTAGTCGGCTCGCATAGTGGGTTGGATGAACACCTTCAAACCACCCTTCTAAAAAAACTATTAAATGCAATTTATCTCCATTAAAACACAAAACTCTAAGAGCTACTTCACACATCTTTTAGAGGCCATAAAGAGCAGACCTCTAAAGATAGAGGTCTCCTTCAAACATGACCTCTGTTTTGGTGTTTTTATTGATGGGTTAAGTTTGATTTGATGCATATTTCAAGATAGATATTTGATTAGAATAATTAGTTGTTTATTATTATTTTTTTTGTCGATTAATGACAATTGGTAACGTTTGTTTTTAGCCCGTAAGATTCTTTTATTTTGTTACTATGTATTATCGTTTTCCTCATTTATTTCAATCACGTATTATTTTACTCGATAAAGCGAAACACGAATGCACGTTCATTGTCTGTTGATAGGTTGTATGTACTATTAACTGATGATATGTGATGTCACTCTTGACACCGTTACCAATTTAATGTACATGATAATATGACAACAAACTGATAAAAAGAAATACGCATTTGTGATGTATCAAATTAGTACCGCAATCAAGTGGCATACTGGCATGAATCAATCAACAAACATGTTAAAAAATTGTACGATAAATCGGTCATCTTGAAACCAAGAAAACATATGAAAGAATTAGTATAATAATAAAATCTCGATATTTTTGGATGGACCTGGTCGATCCTTAACCGTTACAGAAATTGAAATTGGCCTAAATTGGTTATTCAGGCCTGGGTCAAATCGTGACCGGTCAAAACCGCCCATTTCCTACTTTTTTTTTTTCCTTTTATCAATTGTATAAGATTATTTACAAAATATATCTTGATAAATTATATTGTAACACCTCAATTTTGGAAAAAAAAACGACTAATTTTAAACGTTTGATAAAACAATATAAATAGAACAATTTTCTCCCCAAAGGACAACATGTAAGGGGATGTTTGACAGTTGTTGAATGGTTCGGTGCAGAATGATTAAGTGGTCAAAATAATTAAGAGACTCTCATGATATAGTACAAAATGAAACATAATTGTTTGGTAATTGTTTACAATGAAATCAGGGCGCTTAATGATTAAGAGAGATCCAAGATACAAAATCATTAAGAGGTTTTTAGAACCATTAAGAGACAGACTTTTTTTTTGCCAAACAAGATTCATCTCTTAACGATTCAGAATCTGTCTCTTAATGGAACTATTAAGAGGTAAACAAACAACCTCTAATATTTGTACTTCATATATTAAGGTTATATCCAACAACATTCTGAATAGAGAATCTTTCACCAGATCTTTGTTAAGAACAATCGATACTAAAACCTACATTCGAGATACTATCTCCAAGGTACTTAAGACCTCCCAAATAGTTAAGTTATTCTGGTGCCTCTACAAACACTGGACTTTTCTCAAGTGTCGCTAGTACTGCCACCACCAGGACCTGATGCACATGCCAACAAGAAAAAATGATAGGCTTAAAGCCTAGTGAACTCGAGCAGTTTTTATCCTAAATAAGTAAAGTGGTAAGACTGAAAGAATGCTATTAAAATAACAATTTCCCAAATGAGATGTATTTACCGTTAAATCAACATCTTTCTCAAAACTCACCAGTTCCATGATGAAAACTCCATATACAAAACGTCCATTCGAATATGAAACCAAAATACTCAATCAAAACGTGAATACCTTAAAATATTCATATATCGAAACATGGATAAAACAACATTATCCAAAACACCAAAATGTAGATGTAATAACCCAAACTATGTTTTTGTTTCTATAAATGGAATTAGAGGGTGAAGTTGGAACATGATTTTAATTGCAGGGGTTGGAAGTGAAATATGGAGTTAACAAGGGATGAGTCTTCGTTTCTTTCTACGGGAATCGACTAATATTGTGTATGTGTGTGTGTGTGTGTTGTGGTGAGACAGTGAGATCGAGAGACAGAAGTGGAGAAGGAGCAGGATTGAAGAAGGTCAAGAAGCTAGGGCTCAATCTCTGGTAAGAACACTATTTCTCATTGAGTTTCTTCTCTGTATTTAAAGTTAATTTACAGAAATTAGGGTTCTATCTTGTGTTAGATTATTTCTCTATCGGATTATGAGTTCTGGGAGTAGAAACTACTTCGTTTACTGAACTCCATTTCAATGTGCATGCATTTGGTGTTCTTATTTATGTTCCATGAAATTGTGAACATCTGGTGTCAGAGAGAATTCACTAGACCTTTGGTCTAACCCTCACTTTTATAGAACTGAACACATTTTCAGGAAAGTACCATGTCGAGAACTCTAGCAAGGGTAAGTGAAAAGTGTGAGCTAGAGACTTGAAGTGAGGGCGCTTTCTTCTAGTTGGATAGTCGCATCGAACCTTTCTAGAGCTGACATGCCTTAATGCCACTTTTTGCACGGTAAACGTTGCACGAAAAAGTCGCCTGCATCCCAAAGTCTCATGGAAAGTCACATTGATGATTGTTCGCCCGATTTCTCCGTTTCTCGACCGTTTCTCTTTTAGTAGAAACAACAGGATTATGGGTGTTACATATATGATCTGAAATTAATTAACAATATTGTAACTTTAAATTATTTATAACATGAAATTCAATCTTCATAATTTAATATTCAAGAAAAATCAGTATTTACATTGGAAAACGTAAAACTAATAAATGTAAAATTATAGTTTGACCGGTCTTTTTGTGCTTTATCAAGATTTAAATAAGGATTTGTCATAACCATGTCTTTTTTAGTAAATAAGATCGATCAGTCCTTTAAACTTGAATTGGTATTCAGTCCTTATTTTAATCGAGTTTTTTGGACCAAGGCCGAACTAATTCTCGATATTCGTCTCATTTATACATCTTTGTATGTCACCATCATATCTCATTGTCATACAATTAATAACGATGCTAACATATATTTGATTAATTCATAAGGGCCATCAATATATATATATATATATATATATATATTTCAATGTGTGTATCTATACTATATTACTAGAAGGGTACTCGCGAAATGCAGCGGGATATATATTGATTTTAATATTTTATTTAATTCTTTATCTTGGTCGATGTTATAGTATGGTCTTATGTGATTTTGAAAAAGCGATGATATTTTTATTTTTGAATAAAATATAAATTTGAAGATATTATAAAA